GGCTCACAGTGAGGTAGAGGACTGTTCTGTTCTGGTCCTGCTGGACCTGACTGCAGCCTTTGACACTGTTGACCATCACCTGCTACTGGAGAGGCTGAGAGACTGGGTAGGCCTATCAGGAACTGCTCTGGAGTGGTTCTCCTCTTATCTTTCTGAGCACTCCTTTTCTATGGCCGTCTCCAAGTTTAGGTCCTCCACCACCTCCCTTATCCATGGTGTCCCACAAGGTTCTGTGCTGGGGCCTCTGCTCTTCCTCCTCTATCTGCTTCCTCTTCAGCACATCCTGAGCTCCTTCAAAGGAATCTCCTACCATCTTTATGCAGATGACATCCAACTGTACATCTCCTTTAAGCCCCATGAGATGTCTAAGCTGCAGATGTTACACACCTGCTTAGACTATCAAAACCTGGATGGCTGGTAGCTTTCTTCAGCTGATTGAAGATAAGACTGAGATCCTCATCTGTGCCCCAGACAAGCTGGTTCCCAAAGTCAGAGACTCTCTTGGTCAGCTTGCTTCTCACACCAAACCTTCCATCAGGAATCTTGGCGTGACCTTTGACCCAGCTCTCACCCTGGATTCTCATGTCAGTTCTCTTGTTCGCTCTTCCTTCTTCCATCTCAGAAACATTGCTAAGCTGAGTCCCATTCTGTCCCGCTCTGAACTTGAGACTGTTCTCCACACCTTCATCTCCTCACGCTTAGACTACTGTAACTCTCTTTTCACGTGTCTGAGCAGAACCTCCCTGAACCGTCTGCAGGTGGTTCAGAATGCCTGTGCTCGGCTTCTGACCAAGTCCTGCAAATACACCCACATCACCCCGCTTCTCCTCCAGCTTCACTGGCTGCCAGTCAACTTCAGGGTTCATTGCAAGATCCTGGTTCTGGTCTATAGGGCCTTACATGGACAAGCACCATCTTACATTGGTGATCTTCTTAGTCCCTACACCCCAAGCAGGTCCCTGAGGTCCAGTGATCAAAGCCTAATGGTTGTGCAGCACCAGGCTAAAGACCAAAGGTGACAGATCATTTGCTGCTGTGGCCCCCAGACTCTGGAACTCTCTCCCCCTGAGCCTGAGATCAGTGGACTCAGTGGACTCCTTTAAAACGCAGCTGAAAACTCACTTGTTCAAAGTGGCTTTTGTATGACCTTCTTCAACCACTCTCTCTTTATTCCTCTCTCCCCACCTATTCCACCTTTCTCAAGATCCACTTATTTCCCTCTTTCCTATTCACTCTCTCTCTTTCTTAACTTTTTAAAATCACAATTGTCTATTTTTTTGCTCATTTTAAATAAAGTTTTAACCATTTTCTAAATTCTTTTTTATATTTTTACATTTTTTGTTTTCGTGAAGCACCTCGTGATTTTTATCTTGACAGGCGCTATAGAAATGATATTTTCTTCTTCTTCTTCCACATCTGGTGTGAATCAGCAAAGCTTACAAAAACACCAGAACACAAAGAGACAGATGCACACAAGCAAACACTTCTCCTCGTCACAAAATCCTTCTCAACTCCTGAACTTCCGATACAACTGGGGTCAGCAAACCTGTCTTGGATCTACCAAAGCACACACACACACACACACACAGACACACACTCACAACAGATTATGGAGGTAATGTAAGGGAGAAACCACTCAGAAAATGAACCCGACATGCAAAGGCACTCAAACAGCTGGTAAAGTGCTCAGGAAATGTAATAAGAGCACAAAAAATCTAGTAAAGGCTTCGGTCTACAGAGGAAATTGTTTAATCTGCAAGAGAATGATAATAAAACTGACTTCACTGAACATTATGCAAAAAATAAGAAATAAAACAGAAGTTATATCCAATGTTACTTTGTTGTAATTTTATTTTACAGAAACATTTCCCCCTTCTTCTCCGGTACGTCTCAGAATTACTCACGGTCTGCATTTGGTATGCATGTGAAAACAGGCCAAGAGTCTCATTTTCAAAAAGCACCATGAGTTGGTTTTTAAAAGGTTGAAAAAAAAACCACACAACTGTTTTTTAAATTACTTTGATCACCTCTCAAGTTGGTGTTTTTTTTTCATCTCTGGCTTATGCAGTAATATATAAGCTTTTAATAATAAGCCTGATGAAACATGTTTTTCTACTTTGCATTTAGAACAGCAAATTATTATTTTTAAAAAGTGAAACAAACTGGGGTCTCATTTATCAAACATTGCGTAGAATCCGCACTAAAACCGTACTTAAAGAGCAAGTCACCCCCAAATCAACTTTTTTTTGCTGATAAACTATATAAATGTGTGTCTAATTGGGCTGCAGACACGTGTAGTGAATGATTTAGCGCTTTAGTGCTTGTTAGTTAAAATGTAAATATTCTGCCTAAAACTGTCAGTGTTGCACCGTCGTCAGGTAAAAACTCTGCACTGCATTTGAATTTAAATCTGCCACCGCTATTGGCTAAGAGCTATGCTATAATGTAAACTGGTACATTACGATGTCACAATGCCGTTGTCAGCCTGTGTGTGTGTATTTGTTAGCGGCTCCGCCCTCTCGGTCTGCTAGGCAACAGCATTTGTTGCATTTTTTAAACATGAAGAGGGAGTGAAGTGTTTCTTGTAGGGGGTGGCTTGCTCTTAAAGCTCAGCAAAAAATATTTACTTACGCCAAGTAGGTTTGTGATCTATCAAACATGGGAGTATGCACAGCTGCACACAGTTTCCACTTCATAAAGACTAACAAGAATGTTTTTCAGCTGCATTTTAGTCACATCCCGCCCTCACCACGCCCACTTACTTCCATAAATAGTCAATGCAAAGTACCTTGTGGATCTCATGCCTATACATAAGCCAATGACATGGCGACCGTAGATCAAGGCAGATCAAGGAAGCACAATTTCACAGAAGCAGAAATTGAGGTACTTGTGGGTGAGGTGGAGAAATGAAAGGAAGTGCTTTTGCAAAGCAAATGAGAGAAAATCCACAGAGTGGCACAGTGTTGCTGAAGCCGTCAATGTTGTGAATTCTTCAGAGAGATCTGTGGCGGATATAAAAAAAATGTCTGATTGGGATTTGATCCCCAGACTCTGAGGTGAAAGTCACGTGCGTTAACCAATCAGCCAAACAGAGATCTCCCCTGTGCAAGTAGCCAGGGCGCATGATCAGTCGGGTCACAATGACAGGGCACACACTGCCACTGTCCCCCTGCTGATATTCTGTATTCCGTATTCTGCGCATCAGGCTGTGTGTGTGTGTGCGTGTGGGGGGTCTTGTTCTGTGTGAAAACGAAGCGGTACAAGTGATAATGCTGCAGGATTTCATAATTTTATCCTTCCCAGCAGCAGCACTGCAGGTGCTCTTCATGTCCAAAATGTGCGTAAGCAAGGTCCTTAGTCAACTTAAAGTCGCGCACATTTTCCCGCTAAGTTTTCTTTGATAAATCCCAAAGTTTGCGTGGAAAGTTGCTTACGCAGTTTTCCGACCCCGTTTTGTGCATAAGCAAGTTTGATAAATGAGGCCCCAGGTGTTTAAATTTTCCAGAAAATATTTTGAAGTGACTGAGATTTGTCACTACAGAAATAATTATTCTGTTAGTGTAACAAAGTTTGGTTTGCAGTGATAAAGTTCATATTGGTTTACATTTTACCCTGACACACACACACACACACACACACACACACATCTATCTATCTATCTATCTATCTATCTATCTATCTATCTATCTATCTATCTATCTATCTATCTATCTATCTATCTATCTATCTATCTATCTATATATATATATATATATATATATATATATACTGATTCCTGTTTTCAGCCACAGTCTGAGGAAGTTTTAATTACTAACTATAACTTTTCATTCACAAGTTTTTAATTAAATTTACTTGTACAAAATTCTCTTTTTCTCAGCATAACTGTTTCTTAAACAGTGCAGTAGTGACATCAACCATAGTAAACCTGTTAATGAATGAAGAGGTTTTACAGAGAACAAAAATACTTCTCATCCAAAAGTATGGTTGTGTACAGAAGTCCACTTTATGTGGGCTCAAATCACTGAGCACCACACATCCCTGCTCACTTTTCAGTCACGTCAGAAAGCAGAGAATGATTTATGTAATGTTTGAATACAAACAAAAGCTTGTTTGGCATTTTTCCCTCCATATTGTCAACTCACTCATTTTATGTTTATCAAAGTGTTTGTTCCTCCAGTTCTTCCATTCCTGGCAGTCATGTGTCCCTTATTTAGTCAGCGAATGGATTAGTTTGCTAATTAAAGTGCTTCAATTTGAATCATAGCCTGTATTTTTAGGTGACTTATTTTCATGATGTGTTTATAGGACAACAGTTGGTCACGTAAAATTGTGACTTTTATTACAACATCATGAAATGATTCCATCTTATTCTGCCATGTCTGTAATGTTTGTTTTTTTCCTTTCTGCCAGTCCTCCTGTTGCTAATCAGCTTCACCCACTTCACCTGAGCCCTGCCTGATTGTCTCCTTGCTTCCCCTGTGCGCTCCTCCTTTTAAGCAAAGCTCAGGCTCTGCCTTCCTGCCAGATTATCGACAGCCTTGTGCCAGTAGAGACTGACCGATATTTCAACTAAGCCTTTTGATTTTTGGCCAGATTTCCTGTCCACGAATTCCCTCGCCCATCTGTCATCAGAACCCCGACCCTGGTTCTGAACTTTGTTTACTGATCCCTGCTCAACCCCCTGATAAGTGTTGATGACTTCTGCCTGTTTGTGTATGACCTTGCCTGTACCTCACTCTATTGGATTTTTGGAGAGAGTTGAATCCACAGACCAAAGAGGAGCTCACATAGCTGGCACAGAAACAGTCCCGCCCTCTCCCTGTCATTGCAGCATATGCTGATCCATCCCCAGTTTTCCTATCAGCAGAATCTTCTGTGATTCCCTCATTCTCCAACATTTTAAATAAAAAAAATTAAACAAAATAACAAAAACTAACATTTTACTGCTGTGTTCTGGCTGAACTTCTGGGTCTTCAGGTTATACCCATTACACATCATGCAACTTTGGAGTTACTTTTCTTTATTTGCTCTGAAACAATTTCCATTGGAAATCCTCTCAGCTAGTTTATTGCTAACCAGAATTAGAAAATATGCCAGTGTCAGTTTATAGTTAACTGTAAAATACAACAGACACATGAGAAACAAATTAAAGCAAAACAAACAGGTTTTGTGAACTGTAACCCCGATATTGCAACACATCAGATATTGCTCTTTCTTAAATGGTTTTCTGATTGTCAAATACTGTGACTAAAGCCCACTCTCCTGTGGGTGGAGGAATATCAGGGGTGCATTCGTGAGTATTTGTGATTTAAGTACAGATTTGATTTTGGTCATTTTAGTGGCAGACATGTATAACTTTTAAACAGCTGTAAAAAGATCAGACACAATATAGTCTGCTTCAACTCCATCTATGAGGCCTAATCCATTATTGTGGACAAACCAGCAGGGAACATTCTCCCCCTTCCAGTTCCTCCTGAAGTCTCTCTGCCAGCCTCTGTGGATTCAGATGATTACAATCAGACTGAGAACACGAAGAAGCAGCAGCAACTCACGCTTTCTGTTAGAACGTCTTCACAATGAGAACAAACACATGTCTGAGGCAGTTTCTGTACCTGGTTACGTTTATCTCTTGTCCTTTAACAAACATGGTTGCGTCTGGTTTCTCTGGATCCTCTCCGGGATGCAGGTTTGTCACTTCAAAATCAATCCCATGATAAAACTGACCTGGAGGATGGTTGAAAGTAAGCAAATGGTAAATGGCCTGCATTATATAGTACCTTTTAGGGTTCTACACACCACAAAGGCACTTTACAACACAACTAGTTATTCACCTGTTTACACACTGGTGGTGATAAACCATACTGTAGCCACAGCTGCCCCAGGGCACACTTACATAACATCAGAATCTATGATGACCATGCATGTTTGCTTTAGCTAACGTCCTGTGTGTGTGCGCGCATGCGCTTGACTTTATATGCTGAAGTGGACAAATTTTAACTTTTAACCTGTAGTGTGTGGACATTTCCACATCTGGCTGGTCTACACAATGACAAAATCCTGTTAAACATGGTTTTGGAGGTATATTGTAATTAACTTTTTGGTTAGAATACGTTTAGGAATGGAACAGCATTGGTTATGGTTCGGGTATGAGATAGGCATAGTGGAGTCCCAAAAATGAATTGGAGTCATGGGAGGGTCCTAACAAGGATACAGAGTCAAGTGTGTCTGTGTGTGCATACTTGTCTATACATCAAAGTGAAGACTGAGCTTTTTACCTACAAATAGAGGACATTAGTACCAAAGTGAGGACATTTTGCTGCTCCTCACTTTGGCACAATGTTAGAGCTCTACTCGATAGTTTTAGAGCTATAGTGTGAATTAAGTCTTAGTTAAGGTAAATAATAGTTTGGTTATGGTTAAAGTTAGGGCTAGGGTTGGCCACAATCCAGTCACTAAAATGAAAGGAAGTCAATGACTGTCCTCACAACAAGGCTAGGTGTGTGTGTGTGTGTGTGTGTGTGTGTGTGTGTGTGTGTGTGTGTGTGTGTGTGTGTGTGTGTGTGTTTGTGTGTGTGTGTGTGTGTGTGTGTGTGAGAGAGAGAGAGAGAGAGAGAGAGAGAGAGAGAGAGAGAGAGAGAGAGAGAGAGATCATTAGTATAATCACACACTGATAGTACATCTACATCTGATTTATTTTTGAAGTCAAGGTGAAATTTGCTGCCACAGCTAATCAACATTTTCTTTAACAGACAATTCCGACAGGTCCTTTAAGTTTGTAATGAAAACAAAATTATCTTGTCTGTTTGTTACTGTTTAAGTTTGGGAGAAATGTTGTTCTAGTTTTCCATCCATCCATCCATCCATCCATCCATCCATTTTCATCCGCTTATCCGGAGTCAGGTCGCAGGGGGCAGTAGCCTAAAGGTTGGTTTGTTCTTGACGCATGGACGTCATTTTCGCTTTAGAAGTGGGGGTGACGGGGGGGGTATCTTTACAGTATGCTCTAATGGGAAACAGGCTTCAACACAAGCGGTTGTTTTCCGCTTGGTCCTAGAGCTCAACCAGTGTCAATTTAATATAAAGTAATATTGTTTTTGGATGGTAAAAAGTGCAGGGGTCAAAACTTGACTTTGGAAAAAGTGTGTGTGTGGGGGGACACATACCCCCCCCCCATCCCCCACCCCCCCGCAAAAAAATTACGTCCATGCACATCCGCGAGGTTCGCATGGCTCCGTGTGGCAAAATTGCATCATTTTAATGACCACGTCCCTCCACCTGGCCTCCGCACAGCCCAAACTTTCCACATCGCGCACCTGGGAAATTTTCTAACCACGCGGACAGTCGAACATGGAAAAACATGGCGGACTGGCAAGAACTAGTTATGGCAGAGGTTCGTAAATACAGACATTTGTATGATTCAGCTCTCAAAGATCACCGTGATCAACATGTTGTTAATAATTCTTGGAGAGAAATAGCTCGCACTGTCAGAAAAGACAAGGACGCTGTTAAAAAATGCTGGAATGATAAATGATAAATGACCTGCACTTGTATAGCGCCTCTCAAAGTAAGGACTCCAAAGCGCTTTACACCACAGTGTATCATTCATCCATTCACACACATTCAAACACTGGTGGAGATGAGAGGCGAGGCTGCCGAGCACAGGCGCCACCAGCAGGCAAGGTGGGTTAAGAGGCTTGCCCAAGGACACAACAGCAGAATTCTCTGTCCGGAGCCGGGACTGAACCTGCAACCTTCCGATTACTGGACAACCCGCTAAACCTGTTGAGCTACTGCTGGAATGCCATGTTGTAAACAACAGTAATTTTTACTTCTATGGTGTAGTGTTGGATGCATGCCGTAGAGTTCTATGCTGCCACCTACAGTTTGGGAGAATATTGGCTCATCGCAGAAACAAGCCGCATGAACCATAAACGCTGCAAGTTGTGAAGCACGTTCCATCCACGAGCCGAATCACCAAGCGGAAAGTAAATGCGTCAAGCATAAACCAAGCTTCAGGCGAGAGGCCCAGATTTCCCTCTCCCCAGTCACTTGGGCCAGCTCCTCCGGGGGAATCCCAAGGCGTTCCCTGGCCAGGTGAGAGACATAGTCCCTCCACCGTGTCCTGGGTCTACCTTTAGGTCTCCTCCCGGTTGGACGTGCCCGGAAAACCTCACCAGGGAGGCATCCAGAAGGCATCCTGACCAGATGCCCGAGCCACCTCAACTGGCTCCTCTCAATGTGGAGGAGCAGCGGGTCTACTCCGAGCCCCTCCCGAATGACCGAGCTTCTCACCCTATCTCTAAGGGAGAGCCCAGCCACTCTTGGGAGAAAACTCATTTCGGCTGCTTGTATCCGCGATCTTGTTCTTTTGGTCACTACCCAAAGCTCATGATCATAGGTGAGGGTAGGAACGTAGATCGACCAGTAAATTGAGAGCTTCGCCTTCTGACTCTGCTCTCTCCACCATGACATACCGGTACAACGCCCGCATCACTGCAGATGCAGCACCAATCCGCCTATCGAGCTCACGCTCCAGTTTTCCCTCACTCGTGAACAAGACCCCGAGATACTTAAACTCCTCCACTTGGGGCAGGATTTCATCCCTGACCCGGAGAAGGCATTCTACCCTTTTCCGAATCAAGACCATGGTCTCAGATTTAGAGGAGCTGATTCTCATCCCAGCTCCTCCACACTCGGCTGCAAACCGCTCCAGCGAAAGCTGAAGATCACGTTCTGATGAAGCCAACAGGACCACATCAGCTGTAAAAAGCAGAGACCTGATCCTCAGGCAACCAAAACGGATACCCTCCACACCTTGGCTGTGCCTAGAAATCCTGTCTAAAAAGGTTATGAACAGAATCGGTGACAAAGGGCAGCCTTGGCGGAGTCCAACTCTCACTGGGAACGAGCCCGACTTACTGCCGGTAATGCGGACCAAGCATTGTTTTGTTAAAGATCAACACAGTTTTTGACTAAAGTTGACTTTAATACATTTTAAAATTGTAATGCTCATGGGTAAATGTAAACCCTACTGTAATGGTTTCTATGTCATGCTGTACCTAGCAGTCCGTGAACAGAAGGGGACAGAAGATGGGTGTCCACGGTGTAGATACCCAGGTAGTCCCTGTGATATGGGTGCTTCTTCCAAACTTTGTGTAGCAAGATGATAAACTTCACTGAATCCTTCAGTGTTACAGTTAACTTTCCATCTTTGGTCACCAGAAGATCCACACTGCAAAGAAAAGTAAGCAAAGGATTGTAATGAACTTTTTACATAGATTTGTGTAACATTTTCTTTTGAAGAGAAATATGTTGTAACGAAATTGAGGGGAGTTCTTTGCTTGCTTGTTTGTTTGGAAACCTTGCATTTTCATCTTAGTTTAGGTTTTGTGTATTTGCTGGGTTTTTTTTCTGTGCACCCCTGCCAGTGCATGGTTGTGCCCCATATGGAGCTATATATGGGTAAACTGCATGGGTGCCAACAGGGTTTGTCTGTGGTTTCAAACTTGGCCCTACAGTGATTTGACCACATAGATTTCAAAAGGTCCATGCATGAGTCAAACCATCTTAGCCCATCTGTAAACCCATATAGGACCCGTTAAAAACTAAGTGGGCAAACCTCTGTGGGGCCGTCATAAAAAACATGGGCAAACCCTGTTGGCTCCTGTAAGATTTGCCCATTTTATCCATATGGGGCCCACCTATGCATGTGGGCTGGGATAGATTTTTAGGTCACTTCCTGTTTGTCTTCCACGTGTAATCATTACACTCTAATACTTGTGTGAACATATCCTCCCCTTATTGTCGTCAGCTTTTGTGTCTAGAGTTCCAGCCATAGACTTCCCATACTTTTTTTTATTGTCATTTAGACCTCCCTTTTGGATTTCCCTCCTCCTCCATATTAAATGTTTTACTTGTATATTTTAATTAGAAAATCTCTGGATTGTTTGAGTCCTTCCTTTGCTGCTGAAGGTTAAATATTGTTTCTCTTTATTTTGTCAAAAACTAAGTACTGTCAGTGCAGAACCATGATCTGAAAAATAAAGACATAACAAAAATGATTTCTTCACATACTTGTCTCCTTTAAGGGAAGCCATATCTGTCCACAGCAGCTTGACCTGTTTGCCATCTTGGAGGACTAAAATTTCCTGAGTGGTTATCTCCAGCTTCACCCCAAAAATCTGATGAATGATGCCAAATTTCCAAAAATAGGTATTAATTTTCCCATCAGGAGGAATCTTCTTGTCTCCAATGATCTGGCCATTGACCAAAATACCTGAGGGAACATGGTGGGATCTGGTCACTGAATAATATTAATATCTAGTATTTATTTATACAGTATTTATCAGTGGTCGCATGTATCAGTAGCTGACCTGATATTGAGTCTCTGACTAAATTAAAAATGGTTCCTGGTGTGTCGTTGATGTTGAAGCACAGAGCATCGTTCCTGTTAGGAAGCTCTATCATGAAATGAGGATCCCCATCCACTGCAGGAAAAACAAAAATTCATCAATAGATGGGAATTAACATAAGGTACTGACATCCACAACGTGCCAGCTCCTTTCAACTGTAACACTCAGGAAATGAGATTTTGAGATATGTAAAGTAAAGATTCCAACTCTTCTCCTTGAACCGTCACCTTATCGTGGTGAAGGAGTCTGAGTACCCTAATGATCCTAGGAGCTATGTTGTCTGGGGCACTTTGTGCCCCTGGTAGGGTCTCCCATGACAAATTGGTCTTAGGTGAAGGGTGAGCCAAAGAACGGTTCACAGGATCTTTCATGGATGTAAATTCAAAGAGTCGGAGTACCCGGCCCAGAGGGTTACAGGGGTCCCACCCTGGAGCCAGACCTGGGGTTGGGGCCCGTGAGCGAGAGCCTGGTGGCGGGGCTTTCGCCCATGTGGCCCGGCCGGGCCCAGCCCAAACCGGATACATGGGCTCATCCAACTGTGGACCCACCACCCGCAGGAGGAACATGAAGGGTCCGGTGCAATGTGGATCGGGTGGCAGACCAAGGCGGGAGCATTGGCGGTCCGATCCCCGGACAATAAAACTGGTTTTTGGGACATGGAATGTCACCTCGCTGGTGGGGAAGGAGCATGAGCTTGTGGCAGAGGTTGAGCGGTACCGGCTAGATATAGTTGGACTCACCTCGACACATAGCATTGGCTCTGGAACCTAAGTCCTTGAGAGGGGTTGGACACTCTCCTTTGCTGGAGTTGCTCCGGGTGAGAGGCGGAGGGCTGGGGTTAGCTTTTTGTTAGCCCCAAGACTCTCTGCCCGTGTGTTGGGGTTTACACCGGGGGACGAGAGGGAAGCTTCCCTGCGCCTTCGGGTCGGAACTCGAGTGGTGTTTCGTTATTGGATTTCTGTGCAAGTTGCAGTTTGGCCATAACGAACACCATGTTCGAACATAAGGATGCCCATTGGTACACTTGGTACCAGGACAGCCTAGGTCGCAGGTCGATGATAGACTTTGTAGTCGTATCATCTGACCTGCGGCCGTATGTTTTGGACACCCGAGTGAAGAGGGGAGCGGAGCTGTCAACTGATCACCACCTGGTGGTGAGCTGGATCAGATGGCAGGGGAAGATGCCGCAGAGACCTGGCAGACCCAAATGCATAGTGAGGGTCTGCTGGGAACGCCTGGCAGAAGAACCTGTTAAGACGGTCTTCAACTCCCACCTCCGGCAGAGCTTTGACCGCTTCCCGAGAGCAGTGGGGGACATTGACTCCGAGTGGGCCTTGTTCCACTCTGCGATTGTTGAGGCGGCTGTTGCTAGCTGTGGTCGCAAGGTGGCCGGTGCCAGTCTTGGTGGCAACCCCCGTACCCGCTGGTGGACATCAGAGGTTCGGGGAGCCGTCAGGCTGATGAAGGAGGCCTACAGGGTGTGACTGGTCTGTGGGTCTCCAGAGGCAGCAGACAGGTACCGGACAGCCAAGCGGGGTGCAGCAGTGGCAGTTGCCGAGGCAAAATCTCGGGCATGGGAGGAGTTTGGTGAGACCATGGAGAAAGACTATCGATCGGCTCCAAAGAGGTTCTGGCAAACTGTCCGGCGCCTCAGGAGAGGAAGGCAGCAACTCGCTCATACTGTTTACAGTGGGGATGGGGAGCTGCTGATGTCAACTGGGGCTATAGTCGGACGGTGGAAAGAATATTTTGAGGAGCTCCTCAATCCCACCTATGCGCATTCTGAGGAGGAATCAGAACCGGGGGACCTGGGGATGGACTGTCCAGTCTCGGGGGCAGAAGTTGCTGAGGTAGTCAAACAACTACACAGCGGCAGAGCCTCTGGGGCGGATGAGGTTCGTCCTGGGTATCTCAAGGCTATGGATGTTGTAGGGCTGTCATGGTTGACACGTCTCTGCAACATTGCGGAGTCATCGGGGCAGTTCCTGTGGAGTGGCAGACCGGGGTGGTGGTCCCCATCTTTAAGAAGGGTGACCTGAGGGTGTGTTCCAACTATAGGGGGATCACACTCCTCAGCCTCCCTGGAAAGGTCTACTCCAAGGTACTGGAGAGGAGGGTCCGATCGATAGTTGAATCTCAGATTGAGGAGGAGCAATGTGGTTTTCGTCCTGGCCATGGAACTGTGGACCAGCTCTATACCCTTGCAAGGGTGATGGAGGGGGCATGGGAGTTTGCCCAACCAATCAACATGAGTTTTGTGGATTTGGAGAAGGCTTATGACCGTGTCCCCAGGGGCACCCTGTGGGGGACGCTCAAGGAGTATGGGGTGGGTGGGTTTCTGTTAAGGGCCATTCAGTCCCTTTACCAGAGGAGCGTGAGTTTGGTCCGCATAGCCGGTAGTAAGTCGGACCTGTTACTGGTGAGGGTTAGACTCCGCCAAGGCTACCCTTTGTCACCGGTTCTGTTCATTACCTTTATGGACAGAATTTCTAGGCACAGCCGTGGTGTGGAGTGTGTCGAGTTTGGTGGCAGGAGAATCTCGTCTCTGCTTTTTGCGGATGATGTGGTCCTCCTAGCTTCATCCAGCTCTGACCTTCAGCTCTTGCTGGGTAGGTTTGTGGCTGAGTGTGAAGCGGCTGGGATGAGGATCAGCACCTCCAAATCTGAGACCATGGTTCTCGACCGGAAAAGGGTGGCTTGCCAACTCTGGGTCGAGGGAGAAGTCCTACCTCAAGTGGAGGAGTTTAAGTATCTCGGGGTCTTGTTCACAAGTGAGGGTAGGAGGGATCGGGAGATCGACAGGCGGATTGGTTCAGCGTCTGCAGTGATGCGGACGTTGAGCCGATCTGTCGTGGTGAAGAGGGAGCTGAGCCAGAAAGCCAGGCTCTCGATTTACCGGTCGATCTACGTCCCAATCCTCACCTATGGTCATGAGCTTTGGGTAATGACTGAAAGAACGAGATCGCGGATACAAGCGGCCGAAATGATTTTCCTCCGTAGGGTGGCCGAGCTCAGCCTTAGAGATAGGGTGAGGAGCTCGGACATTCGGGAGGGACTCGGAGTAGAACCGCTGCTCCTCCAGATCGAAAGGAGCCAGTTGAGGTGGTTTGGGCATCTCTTCAGGATGCCTTCTGGACGCCTCCCTGGGGAGGTGTTTCAGGCATGTCCTGCCAGCAGGAGGCCCCCGGGTGGACCCAGGACACGTTGGAGAGGTTACATCTCCAATCTGGTCCGGGAACGCCTTGGGGTCCTGCCGGAGGAGCTGGTGGTGTTGGCCGGGGAGAGGACAGTCTGGAGCTCCCTAGTTGGGATGCTGCCCCTGCGACCCGGACCCGGATAAGCGGAGGAAGACGACGACGATGAAAGATTCCAACAGTATAATTAAAGTAAAGAGGACATTATTGGAGTTTATGATGAGCTGAAACAACAAGAAACATGCAGCTGGTTTTCCAGCTACTTACCAAAATATGTTGGAATACTTGAAGATCTCATCGGTGTCATCTGGCTCAAATATGATCTTATCGGTGTCATCTGGCTCAGATATGATGTGCCTGCATGTGGTACAGACATTTTCAAAAATACAAGTAATAATTGATCGTTGCACATCTCGTCATCTCTCAGGTTCTTTTTATAATATAAAACAACTTCCTACCCATGATTTGAGCCTTTTCTGCCTGTTGTCTTTGCTCTGTCAAGAAAAAAAGAGTCAAAACAATTTAAATAATATACCAAAATGTGAAAAATGAGCTATATCCTGTAAAGAAAAGCTTGTCTACAGAAACCGAAGCAGATAACCTGTCCACTATCTTATAAGACTATTTTGTTGTGTTTTACCCTCTGTTAGTTTGTCAGCAATGAGTGGGCTTGCTGTTGCGTCCTCAGTTTCAGGTTTGGTTACCACCATGGAGGTGAGGGGGGTGACAAAGTTGTACTGCAGAGACATGTCCAATGCCTTTGCTTTGGCGTTGGCTTTTTCGTCTGGCTCACCACTTTTACTGCCATTAGGAAATGTATGCTTGTTAAAACAGAAACACAAAACATGACAGAGGCTCAAAATTTTTGCATTGGTTTTAAGAAATTTGTGTCAGTATAATCCATTGTATTATTAATTTATTATCTTTTTTCCAGATTAACTTCAAGGGGCCATATCATGGAAAATCCACTTTTTGGAGTTTTTTACCATGTGATATTGTTTCCTCATGAAAAAAAAATGTTTTGGCTGCAATCATGCAACTTCCTGTTTCAGCTGCAAATTTAGAGTTTTACTTTGAAAATCTTGTAACGCATCAATGGAAACTAATCTTGTCATCAGGTCCTGCTCCTCTCCTGCTAGTCTCTAGTCTTAAACCTGTCTCATTTGGCCTGCAGAAGATATGTGGCTTGGCTGACTGCTGTCGTGTAGTAGACTTGGTAGTCTAGTGGTAAGAGTGTTTACACAGATGCCCTAACCACTGGACTACCATAGCCAATTTTGGCATGCGTAAGATGCTGTTGTGGGCACATTTTGATAAATGACCACTCAATAGTGTCAACGGTAATATTTTATCTTATACGGCGCTTATAACATTGCTCTCAAAGGTTTAAAATAGTGTTATATGGAAACTCTCAAGTCAGTAAAATTTGGTATAGTGACCTTTTCTCTAGAAGCTGCTGGATGGTGAGGTAAGCCCACAGACGCTCGGTAAAATCTCCAAAGATGTACTCCTCATCAGGGTACAACACGTCCCAGTCACTGACCGTAGCCTGACCCTCCACACTAAAATCCTCCTCAAACTACAAGAGAGAGAAAAATCAAACGAGGGTATGTTAAAGCTGAATATTTAACTTTTGAGCTGTTTTTACATCTCTGTTGTTTCCTTTTCCTCACCCCCTGGCCAAATACTTCCACCAGGAAGTTGTCAAGGTCATTGTCCATCAGCCGACCAGCCACAACAATCTCAGAGCCATTAAACAGCTGGTTGAAATGACGAGTGGTAAGGGAGTCCACTTGATTGTCCGGATACTTCAGGTCCACCTCCAAGAGCAATGGGCTGGACACTTCATCATAGAAACCCTGTAACAAACAGACACACACATCTGTATGCATATTTGGAGACATGCTGGTTCAAAATTAAGAGTAAGATGGCGCTTGCGCACAGTCACGCTGCAAGCTGCTCGTCCTCTTTACGCACTGATACCTTGCTTTTTATTGGATTTTATTGGCGTTTTATTGGCTTTTATGCACTTTTCTTGTCGCTGATCCCTTTTTTGAATGGTGTGGATCCTCTGCTGACATATGATCGAGCTGCGCTGCTGAGGCTTCGTCCTTCCGTTGATGTCGCCGGCAGCGCGCGCTGGGAACCGGGCTGTGTGAGCCATGAACCTCACGGACGATGCTGCTGGTTGAACTGCCCGCGTGCTCTCTCCACCCAAGCCGTGATGTGTCGGCCCTCTGTCCGCCCCAGCTCGAGAAGGAAGCATCGTAGAAGACGAGGAAAGAGAGGTAGCCGGCGCGTGAGACGTCGGCCTGGATCCCTGAACAAGCGGCTGGCCCGATCCGGCCCAGCTTCTGACCCGATGGTTCCGAGATGTCTCCTGGATTACTCGGCGCCCTGCTCAGGGAACTCGGCCGGCTCTGAGGGTGAACCGGCACCGCGCCACGGCCGATCGGCTCGAAGATCTCGCCAGACTGGGGTTTGCTGGGAGAATCTGCGCTCGGTTATGGGCACAGAGTTAGAGGGGACTGGGTCCGTGCGCGATCTTGGTGCTGCAGCCCCGCTGCAGACCCGGTTTGGTTTGGTCAATGCCAGGTCTGTGCTGAACAAAACTTTTATTCTTCGTGACTTTTTTATTCAGCATGACCTGGGTTTTCTCTGCATCTGTGAGCATCTGTGAGTCCTGGATCCCGTTTGGTGACACAAGTTCCCTACTCGAGCTGATACCACCTGGCTGCTCATGTTTAATACCCCCAGGGCTGGTTGTTGTTTTTAAATCCAGCTTTCCTTGTAAACAGCTTACACCCACCATGTCATTTTCTTCCCTTGAACTGTGCTTATTTGAACTGTGCATCTCCCCCCGCCTGCTTGTTGTGCTGATTTATCGCCCTCCAAAGACTGACTCTAACTTCCTTAATGATTTCTGTGATCTTGTGGCAGACTGCATCCTAAAATATGACTATGTCCTATTTTTTGGTGATTTTAACATCCATATCTGCTGTCCTGATAATGTGCTTGCTAAAGGTTTTTTTTAATTTGCTAGATTCATTCAAGCTAACTCAATGGGTATCATCCCCAACTCATGCCAGGGGTCACACCCTGGACCTGGTTATCTCTTATGGTCTACCCATCACGAACCTTGTGACTTTGCCTCCTGTGTTCTCTGACCACTCTCCTATACTCTGTGATGTTACGTTGCCATGTCCTGTCCCTGTGTGTGAAGCTCCCGCTACTAGGTTCAGAGCCCTGGATGCAGAAACTATTTCAAAGTTTGTGGACTGTATGTCTGTAAGGTTAGAGACCTTTAACCCAGATCCATCTAACGTTGATCACTATTCACAACACTTTGATGTACTTTGTAATCAGGTCTTGGACGTGGTTGCCCCTCTCAAACTTTGCAAGTCTCGGCCTAGGAGGGAGCCTTGGCTCTCTGATGTCACACGGGCTTGCAGGCGGGCGTGTAGATCCTCGGAGAGAAAGTGGAAAAAGGATGGCCTACAGGTCTCGCGTGAGTTGTTCAGAGCATCTCTGGTTGCTTATCAGGATGCAGTGAAGGCCGCCAGAATGGCCTATTTTGCAGACATCATTGAGACAAACTCCAATAATCCTAAGATTCTCTACAAAACGCTAAACTCTGTTCTGGTGTATCAGGAGCCTAGCTCCATGTCTCCTACAGCTGCTGGAAACTCTGAAGCTTTTCACAAATTCTTTGTTGATAAAGTGTCAGGCATTAGAGCAGTCATTTCAGGTAACTCTGTTGACCCTGTTCCAGTTCATCCATCACCACCCACCCTGAGCTCCCTCAATACAGTTTCATACTCTGAGCTGAATAAGCTAGTTGCGAGGCAGAAGCCATCTGGCTCTCCACTTGACGTTCTGCCACCTCGTCTCTGGAAGGCTGCCTTTCCGTGCCTTGGCCCTTCACTTGGTCAGATTATCAATGGGAGCCTCAGCACAGGTGTTGTCCCAGCTGCTTTGAAAGCAGCAGTTATTCGGCCGACCCTGAAGAAACCTGGTGCTGATGTCTCTGTGATAGAAAATTACAGGCCTATCTCTACCCTGCCCTTTACATCTAAACTGCTTGAGAAAGTCGTTTATCAGCAGCTGGTCTCACATTTAGCTGACTCTGATCTGTTTGAGGTTTTCCAATCAGGGTTCAGGTCTGGCCATAGCACAGAGTCTGCTCTACTGAGGGTCCTAAATGACATCTATCTATCACTAGATCAGGGTACATCTGTGCTGCTTCTGTTGTTAGACCTAACAGCAGCCTTCGACACAGTTGACCACGCGATTCTACTCGATCGCTTGGAACGATGGGTTGGGATCAAAGGGTCAGCTCTGGATTGGTTTAGATCGTATCTCCAAAACAGGACATTCTGTGTTAAACTGGGTGATGTTTTTTCTTCTTGGGAGGGGCTCCGCTGGGGGGTCCCGCAGGGGTCGATCCTTGGTCCTCTTTTGTTTGCCATTTATCTGCTACCTCTGGGGTCAATCTTTCGTAAACATGGCCTATCATTCCATCTGTATGCTGACGATTGCCAGATTTACTCTCCATTGTGTCAGGAGAAAGGTCACTCTATTCAGTCCTTTGTCTCCTGTGTTAATGAGGTGAAGTCTTGGCTAATGTCCAACTATCTACATCTGAATGAGGGAAAGACAGAGCTCATTGTTTTTCACCCCAACAGCAGGAATGTGGATCGTTATGCTGATCTTGGCCCTCTTTCTCCATACTCAAAACCAGTTGTTACCAGTTTGGGGGTGAAACTTGATGTAGGACTTAAATTTGACGCTCACATCAATTCTGTGGTCCGGTCCAGTTTCTTTCACCTGAGACGCCTTGCTAAAATCAAGCCTATGCTGTCGAGAGCCCACCTGGAGCGGGTACTGCATGCCTTTGTTATTTCTCGGCTTGACTACTGCAACTCTCTATATGCAGGGTTGTGTCAGTCAACACTGCATCGCCTACAGGTTGTGCAGAACAGCGCTGCCAGGTTCCTGACTGGGACCAGGAAACGGGACCACATCAGTCCGGTTCTGGCCTCTCTGCACTGGCTTCTGATTTGCTATCGCTCACAATTCAAAATCCTCGTCTTTGTTTATCATTTCTTCCAGGGTGGTGGTCCCCCCTATCTAGCCACACTCCTGAAAAGACACTCCCCATCACGCGCTCTGCGCTCCTCTGACCAAGGCCTGCTCGCTGTCCCTCGGTCTAGGTGTCGTACCCGTGGGGACCGGGCTTTCTCAGTCCTAGCACCGTCACTCTGGAACCAGTTGCCACCCTCAGTTAGGCTTTCCCCTTCTCTGCCAGTCTTTAAGAATCACCTAAAAACACACCTCCTCCGCTTGGCGTTTCCAGAACATGTTTGATTTTGGCCCTCTTTTATGTTGAATCCATTCCACAGTTTTCATTGGTACACTCAATCCATCCACTCAATCCATCCACTCAATCCAAATGTGTTTCACACATTTGTCTTTTACCAGAATGTTTCATCTATCTTGTAATTTCCATTTTGTATTTTGTAATTTGTTTTTTGTAATTTGAATTTCTTTTATTGTTGATTTATTCAATATATTTACATACAACTGTACAATGTTCAGCGCTTTGGGCTTCCTGACAGGGTTGCGGAAGGCGCTTTATAAATAAAGCTTTGATTGATTGATTGATTGATTGAAATAAGGATTCCTTTAACCCTCTGGAGATAGGTGTTGCAGATTTGCAATGTTAAACCCTACCTACCTGGTTACTCCACATACGTATTTCATGAGAATTTTTTTAACTCAGAAGTACCCATGAAGGACTTAGTTGTTCATCTTTTTATAAAAACTTATTTTGAGCCTGAGTGTGTTAAAAAGTACAAAACGCATTCAAAGGCTTCACCTGGAGCTGGAGACCTGCATCTGAAGCCTCAAAGATTCTGCGAGCCAATCCTTTGTTTTCTTTGCTCATCACATCCAGGAAGTTGTAGTCTACATCGTTTCCAAAGCCAAGACAGAAAAGTGTCATATTTCCTCCCATGGCTTCACGTACATTCTGCTGGATTTTCTGGATGTTGGACTCCCCTTCACATGCATAGAAAACACAAAGATTTAATGTAAAAAAAATGAAGAAAACAAAGATACCATCTATCATCCAAACTTTGCAAGCTTACCCTCGTTTGGCATTCCATCAGTCAGTAAAATTACCATGTCCATGCTTTTCTCAGGAAGGTGATTATCTTGTCTGTCTTGAACCAGCATGTTTATACCTCTTAGCATGGCACTGTTGATATTGGTAGCTTGAAACAAGAGAGAAAACTTTTATTTAACCGGCGTATTTTTCAGTCAGAGAGTTTGTCGTGTAATAACTTTTTTGATTTCCGTTGGACTCACTTCCCTCATCTCTGATGCCTTTGACATACTCCATGGCTTCAGCCACATTTTCCTTTGTTGCTTTTGTAAGGGACTCCTTCCAACAATTCACTACGTCGTCAAATAGGATGACTGCAAAGTAATCCTCTTGGTGGAGGTCTCGCAGGATGGCAAGCATTGCCTCTCGAGTCTGAAAAACATCCAAAGGTCAAAAAAATGTATGTTATGACTTCTACAGTTGTAGTGTGCTATGTATTGATTCATCTTTTACCTGTTTAATCTTGTTGCCATACATTGATCCACTCCTGTCGATTATAAACACCACATTCTTAGGAACTCTGTGCAGGTCAGGCGGTGCAAAGAAATGCACAAAGTATCCATTAACAATCTGAAGGAAATAACATTATGAATTAGAATGCCTTAGAGGAAGTCAGACTGGAGAAACAGTGAACATGTTTAAATGATATTTATACCTGGATCTCCCCAAGATGCTTATCTCGCTTCACATCATACTCGATGATGAAATCTCCTTCGATCAGTGTTCCGTCACAGCCAGGGCATTTTCTCTGCTGCTCAGGAGTTGGTGAAAAACTGATATGTGCCTGGCGGGCGGTTAAACAAAACCTGCTTTTAAATGTTGCAAACAGTAAACAACTAAGATCATTCAGGGGAAGTCGGTCCAAGATCCACGCACCTTTTTGTCTGTGACAGTTTTCTCCACCAGAGGGAGCAGCTCATTGGAGAGGAATGTTGCTTTGGCATCCACATAAGAAAGGCCTTGAGGCTCATAAATATTTGTCAAAATCTGTTTCCACACAAGCAAACACAAGAAAGGGTTGTTTGTAACACTGCACATTCACTCAGGATGGCAGAACTCACCAGGAAGTGTGTGGAGTTACCTGAAACTGCTGGATGACTGTGTTGGGTTTTACTCGGGTCAAAATCTCATAATGACCCAGTTTCCTTTGGAGAAGTTCCTCATAGGTTAGGATGAAAGTTACATTACTTTCAGCTGCAATGTTGACATGGACAGAAAACTTCTCCATCTTTCTTCCAGAAGCCCTGCAGCCAAACGCAAGCATCTCTGATCTAAAATATCTACGCTGTGATGCTTTGACAACATTTGGCTTTATAAATTTCATTTGGTCGGACTCACTTGACCAGCCCAGCTGTCTGTCCTGTTGAAACGGCTTTCTCATACTGTTTTTTAGCTTTCTCTTTCTCCTTCACCTCTCCGACATAAACTTTTCCTTCGATTTCCCTGAGAAGTGCAAAGAAAGAAAGCAACATTATAGACTCTAAGAAGCATAAATAATTTTTAGGCATTTTGACAGAAAATATGGACAGAAAAACAAAACAAATATACAAACATGCTGAAGTTTGTGATAAATGCAGTTTTGGGAAGCTCCACTTCAAAAAAGATTTCCTGGGA